GTTTTCAAACATAACCACAAAGTAAAAAACACACTTAAAAGATGAAAAGTCAAGAAAACCTTCAAGTCTAGGTTTCTCATGCAGTCAAATTAAGAAGTTATAAACACATGTAGTAATGCATAATAGTTACCTAGAAATACTAATGGAACATACATATCATATTTAAGAGTGGTTTACATATTCCTCTTTGCCAACTTTACCTGCTAAATACCTAATTTTTGGGGGGAGAAACAGCTTTGGGGTTTTATCTCAGACTATTCCATAGGAAGATGTCATTTAAACTGCCAAGAAAAATAATTGCTGTTTTGCATTCACCTTGCAAACCCATGACAGTAAATTCTACAGAGCCTCTCCCATTGCGAAGGAGCTGGCAAATAATGAATATGTCATTATAAGAAAAATAAGGAAATAAGACTCTGGGACTATTCCTTATTTTGAAGGAATAAGGGTGTCTTGAAGATGGACAAAATATTCCCTAAAAAGCTCACTATAACGAAAGCAGTAAGCAATCCAACATTTTCACTACAGAATATCACAAAGACAGGATGATCGAGACCCTGTCATACAGGACACTGCACTGCAGACAACTAGGGCTGAGATCATTATGCATATTTCAGGTCATTGTTTTCCAAGTCTCACTTATATGTGTACCTGCCTGTTCAGGTACTAACTGAAGTATTCTTCATTTGACATTTTCTTTTAACTTTTTAAAAAATAAAATACCTAGTTTAACCCCAACTTTAAAAAATCATGAAATCATGGCTTTCATGTGTTGGTGGTATACTTTTATACTTTTCCTAACATAAAATTAACATTTATAATTATAATTTTAAAAAACGTTTATATTGTACTACCAGTAACCATTCTGCATACTTCTGGTGACAACGTGCCACATTCTGGGTGATATCTTTATAAGTGGCATCTTAATACAAGAATGGTTAAAAAGTATTCCTCAATAACGGTGTTATTAGGGGAAGCTACCCAACTCTAAAGAATGTGTACCTAAGCTCTTGTAAGTGCTATTGCTCTCAGGCTAAAAACTTGGTGAAAAAATAATTTTTGTGAAAATGTAAAGTATACTGTATAATTCTGACAAATACACTTTTTCCTTTGCTATTTACCGTTCAGCAGAGCTTCTGTAGGCACTCAATTAAAATGGCTTAAGCAATTCTTTAAATATATGGTGATACTTATCATTAGTTAAGGAAAAGTCAGTTATGCTCAAGCTGGGAAGCGGAGGGATGAGTGAGATTTAGAGATGCAGGGTTCTGTAGATCTGTTCAGGGAAGCAGCAAAGGGGGAGGTAGAAGTTAGCAGCTGCTTTTGCCAGTACGTTTTCTTCTGGTTAAAGAACTTCCAACCTGGCCACTGTGTAATCACTGGTGGTCTTTGAGAGGCCAGTCATTCACTTTCATTCAAGTCAGGTAATGAATCCGTCAGTACTCTTAATTAGCAAAAGCTAATGGTCCCTTTTATGGCTAAAAGTTACGGTACCAACTGTTTTAAAACTATTTTATGACAAAAGGTCTTTTAGAAGTTATGATTTGGGTGAGGGGTGCTTTAATATGGGATAAACTATATTATACCTAGTGTGATACAGATTGCCTACTGAGGGGGTCAGCAGAGCTGCCTGGGCTGTGGAATAACACAGCTCTGAGCTCAGTCTTCCTTTGGCCATGTGGTTTCAGATAATTCTTTAAGCAATTCTATTTCAGTTTCCTCAATGAGACTACTAACATTATCTACCTCAAAGGATTGCTGTAAAGATTAAATGATGTGACATGTAGAAATAAGGGCTGAATAGTATAAATAATATCTAAAATAACAATAAGAAGTCAATAAATGCTAGCTTATCAGCTACATGAAGCAACATTTCTTTGAATGACACCAAAATTAAGATAAAAATTTGTGTGTCAATGAAAGCTCGGGTTACATCTTTGCTTTTCAAAAGATGTTAGGTAAATACTCTTGGAAGATACAGATGTGTAGCTGCAGCCTGGAGTCTTCTACATTACTATTTTATGATCTGTATTTAGGACTTCACAAACATTTGAAAAATGCTTAGTAATTAATGAAGTATTTTTTCACATTATCATCTCATTTGATTCCCAATGCAAACCCTAAGTAAGCAGTACAAGAATTATTCATATTTTGTAGAAGAGGAAACTGAAGTTCAGAAAGGTTATTTAATTATTCCATAATTACAGTAACTAGAGAAGTATTTTTTTCACTATACCAACTGTGCCCTCATAATTATTTGTTTCACATTTTAAGATAAAGAAATTAGGTACTACATAATTAAATTTCGATTTAAGGTCATAATTTGTTTTGTCTTTGAATTTAATACCTTACACAGTATTTTCCAGCACAGTAAAATAAAGTTTCTGAATGAATTCTTAGAGCATAGCTTTATACATATGTATATATCTCCCCCATTCTTATTAGGTTTTGGAATAGCATCCTATAATTGGAAGGCCCTAAAAGTAAATCTAAAAAATTATGTCAATGGTTGTTGTTATGCAGATGCTAAACATTCTTTCTATACACTGCAACCAATATAGTTTACTGCTTGAGGGGAGTTAATATGGAGCACTGCAATTACACTACAGTTTAACTAAAGTATTTGCTATAAAAGTAAGTTACTGACTTTGTCTCCTTAGATAAAAGTAGTAAGTACATTTAAATAATAGATTAAACAGCCAATCTACCATAAAATACTTTGACAATACTGTTGATTTCAGGGGTCAGGTTTTGGCTTACCCCTTCAAAGACTGTCCTCATTACTATTAAATATGGTTGTTAATTTGTGCTGCTACCAGGCTAAGCTCCTCTGTCAAAGTCGTTGATTTTCTGCTAAATGTAAGCCAGGGTTTTATGACCATTAGAGGTGCAAAACAGTCACAACAGGCATATGCAAACACACTATTTTGAAATAAAGCCCAGTGTCACGGTTCATATGTTCTGTACATTTCGAACATTTAAGATCTTTAACATTAATTAAACTGGCTTAATGAAAATGGCTGGCATTAATTCCTATTATTTTTTTGAGTGGAAAACTAAGGACCAAGCTATGTTACAGTAAATGATAACCCTTAAGCATGTATGGAGTTTAGAACTGTACTGGAATAAATTTAAAATGGGTTCAATCTCAAACATATTTAATGAGGCAGCCAATGGTTACCACATTACACTGTGTGGTAATTAAGGAGAAATCATACAGTTTATGTACTATTTTCAAAAAGCCAACCAAACATTTTAGAGAAAAAATGGTGAGGGGAGAGAACAACTTATCAGATCAAGAGGCTACTTTGAGGCCCTCTTTGCAAGATTTCCAGCATCTGGGAACCCAGGAAGTCGGGCCATCTCAAGTCAATGGCAAGAGAGTCCCATGGCCTAAATGTTCTGTGGGACCTAGGGAAATAGTTTTGACTACTCCTAGGTACTAGGAGTCAATATCTGGTAGAAACTGAATCTTGGACCTCTCATTGCTTATAGTAAAGCAGTATTTTCTTTGATGTGAGAAGTTAAATTTACCTGGGTATTCAGGTTACAGGCTCAGATTCCTCTTCCTAATTCCAAGCTGCCTAGAATTTTGCAAATTAATATGATTTAAATGGAAAACATTCCTAGGGTGCGGCCACTAGTCATGCCCACCTTATTGCTGTTTGGTTTAATTATTATCTTTTTTCACTTAACACCCTTACTAGAGTATATACTCAGAAAGAATTAATGTTTTAAGTGGAAAAAGAGGTAATTTTGGGCAAGGGGCACTTACAAGTAAAGTCAGGTCTTTCGTTAATGCAACATTCAGTAAACGCAACATTTACTGATCTCTTTTCAGTGCGGATATAAAGTCTCACTCATAGAAGGGCTTAACCATCTAATTTGTAATATGAACACATTGTTATAAAACCACTGCTGCCAACATTTCTACAGTGTCTACTATAGGGTAGGCACTGTTCAATGCATTTTACATCCTAGTTGGGATGGGGCACCATTACAAACCATATGAATTTTACAGACAAGGAAACTGAGGCACAGAAAGGTTAAGTAACTTGCCCAAAGTCACAATGCTGATAAGTGGGGCTCCAGAGCTCCTGATGATTACAGTTACCCGCTGATGTAAAAGAACTATAACTCTTCTATCAGATGTGGAGGATCATCAGGAGAATAAGAGATAATATGGTATGCAAAAGATGTGATGGAAAGGCATCAAAAGTATTGCTTTCACATTGAAATTTGACGTAGAACTGGTCTGGTCCTGTCTTTAACCTTCTAGTCACTTAATCCTGTCCTGTTCCTAATCTCACTTACCTCCACTGCCTGCCTAGACTGGTGCCTAGCAAAGAGGAGTAGGGAAAGGCCTGTGCTGGGATGGAGAAACATGAGGATTCACGGTTGGTCATGCATAGCAAAGATGTGAGAAGTTGTATTTTTCATTACACATTATCATACACCTGTTAAGACTAATATATTACCAATGAAAGACTAAGTAGAGCTGCATTGGGCTTTTAAAGTAAATTTAGTATTTCTAAAACCTGTTACCACATAATGAGAACTATTAACATTTTTAAGCTCTTCAATTGTCCTGGTAGCTTAAAACTGTTACTTCATTTCCAAAATGGTAACAAATGTTCTTGATAGTAGCTATACACTGGTAACAAAGGCATATAATCCTATACAATTCTTAGCAATATTAAAACAGCAGATAAAGTACACAAAGTGTTATACAATGCAGACATCAAGTTAAAATGAATACAACAGTGATAGCATTGGGAAGACATTTTTGAATCACGATGTATAACAATATATTTCATATTGAATTATACTAACCTTGTATTATTAAAAATAAAAAATATGCTACAATTCATTCAGAATAAATTCCATAGAGGGATGTTTATGTCAAATCACTTTAGCTCACTCCCAAGTTTACCATGCAACCAGAAATGGATGAAATTAGTTTGTTATACAAAAAAACCCTATACAGAATATAAAAATCACATTTAATATAAATGTCACATCATATAGTTATATTACTCTTGATGTAACAGTTTTATTGGAGTAATTTGAGTTTTCAGAACATGCAATGTAATCAAGACATTTCAAGCAGAATATGTTAACTTCATATTCAAAATGTAACAAATATGCAATAGCATAATCCTGGGAAATACACTGTATTCATCTAATGTCAGAGATATCTGTCTCAGAGACCTTATGAAAAAACATGAGCTTTTGTGTCTTATTGCTTCAACTACAATATATTATAAATGCAATTCAGGATATTTTATCTACATTAAAAAATAATCTTTATAAAGGAAATTATACTAATGGTAAATAGAAAATTGCTGGGAGTACAATGGTCTAAGAATAGGTGTCTATTTCAATGATCTGACTATTATGAATTTATTAACATAATTTCCCAACATCAATAAATAAAAATCCTTATTTATTTTTTCAATTATGTATGAGTTAAGAGTCAACAACAGGATACCTCTACCACACTGCAGAACAGCTCTAAGAACTGAATGATATTCATTTATTGGTTAGGTCTAATTTAATAAACTAAAGACAACAGATAAGCTACCTAGCAAGCTTGAGGCAAGAGCTTGGGTAACTGTGGTAAAATGGAGCACCACACATGGTGTTAATAAAACACGATTTGTGGCTGCCTTTTAAGTACCATGGCTAGTTATTTGTGGGTTTGGGGTTACATTTACAGTAGTGGTGCTGGATTTATATGAGGTCACTGAAACTTTCTCCAACTTTTCTAAATATGCCACACATTTTAAGAAAGCAACTTTGGGGAATATGGCAGATGGTGTGTAAATTATTTCCACTTAGGCTAACAGACGCAGTGGAGTGCTGTGGAAACACATGAAATTTAGTTCTTATACACTGGGGTTCTCCCATTTTACCAATCACTAGTGTGAAGTCTGTTTTTTTATCTATAAAATGGAAATAAGAAAACCTAACTTACTGGTTTTCCACAGAAATTAAAAATATTTTGATTTAAAACAGTATTGTAAGGATTCCCAGAACCTAAAATAGCAGGCTACGTTCATATAAAAATAGATACATGGCCAAAAGGTGAATGGAATACAATGATTTCTTAAAAATCAATATAATAACAGTGATAAAACATTTAATTTTATTCATGCTGTTATGGAATGTCCTTCACCACTTTCAATTCCTCCAGCCTTAGCATGTCCTCATCCTTTAAGGCCAAGCTCAAAAACCATCTCCTTCAGGAACACTCCCACGACAACCCCTAAGAAAATAATTTTTTTGTAATTACCAAAGAGCTTTAAATTATGCTGACTGAATCCACAACTTTCCACCTTATATTATAGGTATTTATATACATATTGTAACTCTTGATTATATAGCAATATAGAGTATACCTGCTACTGCTGTTCCTATCAATAGAGGGCTTATTTTATACCAAAAATCACACAAAGAACCTTGACTACAACCCATAATGTAGGTACCATTTCCATTTTACATATGAGGAAACAGAACAGAGGTTGTAGAGTCAGAATTTGAGCCTGAGTACTTAGCAATAACATTTCTGTGATAAGCATTCTGTATGGTAGGCAAAAAGCACATTTTCACAAGGTTGCTTAAGGTAGTTGTGATTTGGCAGACGTGAATGAGGTCTTCTGAATTCAACTTCAGTGTTCTCCGAAATGCATTATCTTCTATCTCTGGCAATCATACTAACGCCAACTGTGTGCCAGAGGACCTCTGAGAGGCAGCTCATTGGCTCAAGGTGCCAACCAGATGCATCTAGTACAAATAATAAAAATAACTTGGAAGTGTCATCTACTATGTTGCTGCTGCCCAGCACTGCCATGTACACAGCCGGCTTAGTCACTTAATCTTGCCAGGAATTCTTCATTTGGAAAACAGAGACAAGCACTTGACCCCTACCCAATCTCACAGGATTTGAAATTAAAAAATGGGGGAAAAGATTTTTAGTTAACCATAAGAGAACTGTTTGGCATAAGTACATTTTGTTATTTTTTTTCTTTCCCCTTTCAACATTTAAAACTAACACAAATATTTGAATTCATTACATAGAAAGTATGCTAAGAAAAGGGGGCTTCATTTTGGCCTGTGATTTCACAGATCATAGAATTCTAAGGAATATGCAATTAAGACAGGCAAAATAGCTCTCTACACCAGCTGGTGGACCTTCTCCAGAAACTTCCCTAACAACTTAATATGTCCCAAGGTATGAATAATTTGGTCACATGCTGGGTTTGTATGGCAGTCCTCAGAGCAATAGAAAGGTTATTGCAGAGGTCCTCAAGGTGTTTATATAGCTCTCCTACTGTACAACAGCATTTGTTTCTTCTTTTTACATTCTGGAGAGTTTAAATGTTTCGTAAAGGTGTCTGCATTTGTAAAAGCGTTATAGTCCTGTTACTACTCATTTATTTTCTCATGATTACAAATTGGAGAAGATCTAAAAGTTATCAAAAAAGCAGCTTTTAATAATGAGCTATTTTGGGTGTAATTCAACTACATGTGTGAATAACAAGTTTTGTTCTTATTATTTCTCACCTCTCTCAGTCACCTCTGCCTTGTCAAAGAGAAGAATGCTTATGGAGTTAAAATATCATTCTGTTCATTTAGCTACAAAAATAACTGAACCAATAACTCAACCAAGTGAAAGGGAGAAAAAAACTTCAAAAACTATCTCTTGGGAACCAAAGGGTAGCCCTTATACAATTTTCCATGGATAGGTTAGCTTATTTAAAAAAAGCATTTGGCAGGTTTTGAAAACATAACAGGTCAATAAGCTGTGACCAGAGAAGATCTGTGTTTACTTTAAATCTGTATGGGCACATAATTAAGGCAGGAAATTAAATACAAATGCATATCTAGTTCAAACGCATACGCAAAACATGAGATGGAATCAGAATTATCAAATAAGAATGTACATATGATATAGGCAACTCATGATGACCTTACTTCCTAATTTACTGACGTTTACAGGCATGCCGTGTTTTATTGCCCTTTGTTTTACGGTGCTTCCTACTTTTTTTTTTTTTTTTTTAACAAATTGAAGATTTGTGACACTCAGGTGTCAAGAAAGTCTATCAGCACCATTTTCCAACAGCACATGCTCACTTTATGTCTCTCTGTCTCATTTTGTTAATTACTGCACTAATTCAAACTTTTTCATTAGTATGATATCTCTTAACAGTGAGCTCTGATCAGTGATCTTTGATGTTAGAATCTTACTTGTTTTGGGGCACCATGAATTACACCCACAGAATATGGCAAACTCTCTATAAATGTTGTGTGACTGCTCTCCTGACTGGCCTTCTCTACTCTCTCTCCTTCACCTTGGGCCTCCCTACTCCCCGCAATGCAACAATATTGAAATTAGGTCGACAATAGCCCTCTAAGTGTTCAAGTGAAAGGGATAATCACATCTCTCTCATTTTAAATCAAAAGCTAGAAATGATGAAGCCAATGAGGAAGGCATGTTGACAGCCCAGACAAGCAGAAAACTAGACCTCTTATGCAAAACAGCCAAGTTGTGAATGTAAGGAAGTTCTTGCATGAAATTAGAAGTGCTACTTCAGTGAACACAAGAATGATAAAGTGAAAAAGCTTCGTTGCTGATATGGAAAAAGTTTTAGTGGTTTGAATAGATCGAACCAGCCACATCATTCCCTTAAGCCAAAGCCTAATCCAGTGCAAGGCCCTAATTAACTTCAATTCTGGGAAGGCTGAGAGAGGTAAGAAAACTGCAGAATAAAAGGTGGAAGCTAGCAGAGGTTGGCTCAAGAGACACAAAGAAAAAAAGCAGTCTCCCTAACATAAAAATGGAACGTGGGAGTTTGAGACCAGCCTGGGCAACATAAGGAGACTCTATCTCTACAAAAAAATAGAAGAATTAGCTGGACATGGTGTGTGCCTACAGTACCAGCTACTTGAGAGGTTGAGGACATTGAGCCTGGGAAGTTGAGACTGCAGTGGGCCGTGATCATACCACTGCACTTCAGCCTTGGTGACAGAGCAAGACCCTATCTCGGGAGAAAAAAAAAAAAAAAAGTACATGATGAAGCAGCAGGAACGAATGGAGAAGCTGAAGCTGCAGCAAGTTATCCAGAATATCTAGCTAAGATCGCTGATGAAGGTGGCTACATGAACAACCAGATTTTCAATATAGACAAAATGTAGCTTAGGGTCCCTGGGGTTTTGGGTATGCATTGTGAAAAAGCACTAACTTGTAACTCTTACACCTTGAGGTTTCGTTATTTCAAAAACTTCCAGGAAGAAGCTCAGCCCCAGAAAAACTAGTAGGATCCAGAGATGAGTCTGTTGCAGATGAACTTTGACAAACTCCCTTCAATACATATGAAAATCCCTGCCCAGAGAGGAGCTTAGCTCCCATTTTCTATACATGCAGCATATGTAGAAGCATGATCAGTGACTGCTCACGTGCTGCCTTTACTCCATCTCTACATACAATGACTCAGTTAATCAGCCCAATAAAAGCTGTTTTCACTGTTGTTCATGAAGATTTTGCTTTGGGAACTATCCTCAGCATCCTTCTTACTTATTACAAGTAATAAAATCTCCTTGTTGAATTTTTCTTGGTTATGGTAAATGGACTGTCACCCATCAAGCAATCAAATTCACCCATTGTGTGGGTAACAAACAGCCTTCTTTTGGAAGAAGAGGCCATCTAGGACTTTTCTAGCTAGAGGGGAGAAGTCAGTGCCTGGCTTTAAAGCTTCAAAAGACAGGCTGACCCTCTTATTAGGGGCTAATGCTAATGGTGACTTTTAAATTGAAGCCAATGCTCACTTACTAATCTGAAAATCCTAGGTCCTTAAGGAATGATGCTAAATCAACTTTACGTATGCTATACAAAACTGCGATGACAGCACATCTGTTTACAGCACAGTTTACTGAATATTTTTAGAGCCCACTGCAGAGACCTACTGTTCAAAAACAAGATTCGCTTCAAAACACTACTGCTCATTGACTATACACCTGGTAACCCAAGAACTCTGGTGGAGATGTATAAGGAGTTGAATGTTGCTTTCATACCTGCTAACTCAACAACCATTCTCATACCTGCTAACTCAACAACCATTCTGCAGCCAATACACCAGGGAGTAATTCCAACTTTCAAGTGTTATAATTGAAGAAATACATTTTGTAAGGCAATAGTTTCCATTGGCAGTGATTCCTCTGATGGGTCTGGGCAATGTCAACTGAAAATCTTGTGAAAAGGATTCACCATTCTAGATGTCATTTGTGATCATGAGATGAGGTCGAAATATCAAGTCAATAGGAGCTTGGAAGATGATTCCAACTCTCATGGATGATTTGAGGGGTTCGATTTCAATGGAGGAAGTAACTGCAGATAAGGTAGAAATAACAAGAGAACTAGAATTGTAAGTGGAGCCTAAAGATGTGATGAATTGCTGCAATCTTATGATCAAACTTGAACAAACAAAGAGTTGCTTCTTAGGAATAAGCAAAGAAAGTGATTGCTTCAGATGGAGTCTACTCCTGGTAAAGATGCTATGAACACTGTTGAAATGTTAACAAAGGATTGAGAATATTACATAGTATCAGTTGATAAAGCAGTGGCAGAGTTTGAGAGGAGTGACTCCAATTTTGAAAGAAGTTTTACTGTGGGTAAAATACTGCCAAAGGACTGTGCATGCTAGAGAAATCTTTTGTGAAAGGATGAGTCAACTAATGCAACAAATTTTATTGTTGTTTTATGTAAGAAATTACTACCACCACTCCAGCCTTCAGCAACCACCACCTTGATTAGTGAGCTACCATCCACATCGAGGAAAGACCCTTCACCAGCAAAAAGATTATGACTCGTTGAAGGCTCCGATGATCGCTAGCATCTTTTAGTAATAAAGTTTTCCTATTTTTCTTTTTAAGAGACAGGATCTCACTCTGTTGCCTACTCTGGAGTGCAGTGGTGTGATCCCAAGATCACTGCAGCCTTGAACTCCTATGCTCAAGTGATCCTCCACTTAAGCCAAAAACTTAAAAAATTAGCCCAGCTAATTTTTTGTACAGATAGGGGTCTCACATTGATCAGACTGGTCTTGAATTCCTAGCCTTAAGTGATCCTCCTGCATTTGCCTCCCAAAGTGCTAGGATTACAGGCATGAGCCACTGTGCTTAGCCCAATAATGTACTTTTCATTAAGGTAATATGCACTGTCCTTTTTAGACATAAAGTCACTGCACATTTAATTGGCTAGAATACTGTATAAACATAATTTCTGGATGCACTAGGGAACAAAAAAATTTGTGTGACTCACTGTGTTGCAACATTTGCTTTACTGCTGTGGTCTTGAGCCAAACCTGCAGTATATCTGAGGTATGCCTCTAGTTCACTTGTTTGGTAGATGCAGAAGGCATTTCCTATTGACAGGTAGTCAAGCTGCTTAACTGTAGAGTGTTGATAGTTCTGCTCCATCTACTTACATTGCATTCAGGGAAGCCTTTGGAAAGCTAAACTTTTCAGGTCTCTTAGAAAGAGAAGAGAGCAAAACCTGCATTAAAGCTATTATTGTCAATGGAAAGACCTACATTAGGCAGGAAGAGAGGATAATGCAGTGAATTCTGCTTAGGGATCAAGTCCCCACGCTTGGCTTCAATGACTTTTCTGAATCTCTAATATACCCATTAAGAAACAAAATACTGCAAAATGTAAGAGACAAAAAGTATTTCTAACATTTTCTATGCAAAGTTCAAATTTTGAGTTGAGATTCAGCTAAATTAGGAAGTACACTGTAGAACACTTTAAAAGTAGGTAGTTTTTTCATTTTAGTGTTTGAATTTGTATGGTATCAAAAATAGTTTGGCATCTTGCTAAGCTTGCACTTAGTTCAAATAAAACTTTAAAAGACCTGTCATTCTAGGTGCATATTCATGTATTACTTCTCATATAGGCATACCCAGACATCACCCATAGATGGAAGAAAGCTGTTGGGCTATCCATTAGCAGGATGAAACACAGACTGTGTTATCTGTGATATTTATTGTACTGTAAGTGAAACCTGTCTTAGCTTTTCTGGCAATGTATTCCCTAATTTTTGTCTTAAACTTCTTTATGAGACTAAAGATACAAGGCAGATGATGAGACTTAAATCAGCATTCAGCAGGTAGATGGAAAGCACTCATCAGATATGAGACCTCCCTTAAAGGTCTTAACCCAATGCTCAGCTTTTAAAATATGGACTTCATTCATGGGTAGCACCTTTTAAAATAAACCGTTCTTTTCAAAGCATTTTGTTCTTTTAAAATAATAAGCTGCTTCAAGTAGATTTTCTACTATAAGTTAATAACTAATAAACATGGTATAAAGTTATTAAGTACTGTTAAAAATTTTAAAATCAGTTTTTACAGTATTAAAATCATTTAAAGAGCAACTAATGAGCATCTAAAAATTCACTAGCTTTTGAAAAATTCAAACAGAACAAAACTGACAAAAGTAAAACATGTCTCCTCTTATTCCTCAAGTTCTAGGAGCCTATGATTCTAACAAATTAAATACCCACAGTTAGCAATATAATCTTACACAATATGCAACTATCTCAGAATGCCACCTCCCTTCTGTGAAATTAAAGAGTACAGAAAACCATACCTTTAAGTTATTTTATAGCAGACATTCTAGGTGTTTACTAGAAGACGTGTATCTTCTTTAGAAGGTAACCAGCACCACTATACTAAGCTCAGAAAAAGTCTCCTCCCCTATCAAGATATTCATAACATCATCACAATGAAGATATGCTTCCTTGGCCAATATACAAATACATCTTGAAAGAAAAGCTGTAATATACTGCCCCACAAGAAACTTCTGGTGGTTGCAGAGGATTAGGAAAATCTATAATGACAAATGTATTCACAGTTTGTTTCATAAAGTTGTTAATATGCAGTATCTTGATTTATATTTTATTAAGATCATCAATGATTCCCTTTCCAGACTCAGAAATATATAAAAAGGGATTTTAAATATCCTCAAACCACAACTGCATACACCTCAGTTCTAGTCTCCAAATATGTATACAACATTTAAATGAGAAGTGAAATATGTGCAAAGAGAAAGTAGGCTAAAACTGTAGCCGTTTTTCATTTGTTAATACTTTGGGTATATATTCTGTTTAATTTCCATTAAACCACATTCATGCCAACTCTCTTTTTAAAAAACAGGTTAAAGATATAAGTATTTTTTTCTTTCCTCACCAGGAAAAGCAGAAACAAACGGAGAGCCTCAGAACATACTGTTTCCAATGGAATAGAATTAATTAAAAAATAGTTGCTCATTTTAACAAAAAATTCAATATTTTAAAATGTAGAAAATATCACAACCAGGTTGATAAGACACATTTAAGATGGTATGTATTAAATCATTAGGCTACTCTACCAGAAGTAGCACTTGCCAGTTATAGGAAGGCACATTCAAACTTAGATGCCCAAGCCTTATGAATACTTAATACTTACCCAGTACCAAATACTCAAAAATATTTTACCTCTCACTTATTTTGAAGAGTAGTCATTTTTCTAAGGACACTATTAAAAATGGGACATATGAGAGAGGGGGCGTCAAGATGACCAAGAGAAGCCAGCACCAGAATGCAGCTCCCAGCAAATGAGACACAGAGGGCTACAGGACTTCACGATTCCAAAGCAGGTGACAGGTTCGCTTCTGTGGGACTGACAGGGCACTGAAAATAGGTCCAGGGAAGGAGCCACAGGGCAAGAGCCGCCCATGGGGGCAAATCAAGAGGGGGCAGTGCGGGGCGGGGAGCGCATCCCCACCTGAAAAGAGCAGCTGGTTTAGAGGGTTGGGGAACTTAACCCCTCGGTGTTCCGATTCGGATCCCGTGCTTACCTCATCCCTCCTTCAACCCACCGCCCACAAGAGTCCTGCCAGACAGTGGGGCGCCGTGGGTAGTCAATGCAAATCTGAGCGGTTGCTACCGCCCAGCGCAACAAGTTGTCACATGGACCTCGGCGGGAGTTTGGACTAACCCCAGTGAGACGGACTGTCCCACAGGAGGGAGGCAGAGTTGAAAGCAGGAAACAGACCATAATGCCTGGCAGGCCCCACCTCCACAGAACTCAAACTGAAGCACTGCTAGAGAGCTTGGCAGCAAATACACCAGCTTGACCCCAACCAGGAAGACTGAGCTGTGGGAGAGATGCCATTGGGAAGGCTGGCCCAATCTCACCTGCAAACACACTCCAGGGAAGGACCACCCATCCAACAACCTGACTGAACCAAAGAGAGCCCAGCAACGCCCTCTACAGGCCAAAAAAAGATACAGCTCCAACCTCAACAGAAAAAACGTCCACTCAGAGACTCCTCCTGAAATCACCAACTTCAAAGATTAATGGGAGATAAATCCACGAAGATGGGGAAAAAACCAGAGCAAAAAGGATGAAGCCATCAAAAAACAGAACACCTCTTCTCCTCCCAGGGATCACAACTCTTCACCATCAAGGGAACAAAAAAAAAAAAAAAAAACAACAATGAATCTGACGAATTGACAGAAGCAGGCTTCAGAAGGTGGGTAATAACAAACTTCTCTGAGTTAAAAGATCATGTTCTAACCCAATGCAAAGAAACTAAGAACCTTGAAAAAAGGTTAGACGAAATGCTAACTAGAATAACCAGCTTAGAGAAGAACATAAACGACTTGATGGAGCTGAAAAACAGCATGAGAACTTCGCGAGGCATACACAAGTTTCAACAGCCAAATTGATCAAGCATATGAAAGGATATCAGAGATAGAAGATCGAATCAATGAAATAAAATGAGTAGGCAAGATTAGAGAAAAATGAGTGAAAAGAAATGAACAAAGCCTCCAAGAACTATGGGATTAAGTGAAAAAACTAATCTATGCTTGATCAGCGTACCTGAATGTGACGGGGAGAATGAATCCAAGTTGGAAAACAGTCTTCAAGATATTATCCAAGAGAACTTTCTCAATATAACAAGGCAGGCCAACATTCAAATCCAGGAAATACAGAGAACACCACAATGATATTCCTTAAGAAGAGCAACCCCAAGGCACATAGTTGTCAGATTCACCAGGGTTGAAATGAAAGAAAAAATCCCAAGGGCAGCCAGAAAGAAAGGTTGGGTCACCCACAAAAGAAAGACCAACAGACTCACAGCGGATCTCTTGGCAGAAACCCTGCAAGCTAGAAGGGAGTGGGGGCCAATATGCAACATCCTTAAAGAAAAGAACTTTCAATTCATAATTTCATATCTGGCCAAACTAAGCTTCATAAGTAAAGGAGAAATAAAATCCTTTACGGACAAGCAACTGCTGAGAGATTTCATTGCTAAAAGACCTGCCTTATAGGAGCTACTGAAGGAAGTACTAAACAGGGAAAGGAACAACCAGTACCAGCCACTACAAAAATGTACCAAATGGTAAAGAATAACGACGCAATGAAGGAGTCACACCAATTAACAGGCAAAACAACCGGCCAGTAACAAAATGGCAGAATCAAATTCAAACATAACAATATTAACGTTGAAGTAAATGGCCTAAATGCCCCAATCAAAAGACACAGACTGGCAACCTGGATTAAAAAGTCAAGACCCATCGGTATGCTGTATTCAGGAGACCCATCTCACATGCAAAGACTCATATAGACTCAAAATAAAGGAATGGAAGAAGATTTACCAAGGAAATGGAGAGCAAAAAAAAGCAGGGGTAGCAATCCTAGTCTCTGATAAAACAGACTTTAAACCAACAAAGATCAAAAGGACAAAGAAGGGCATTGCATAATGGTAAAAGGATCAATGCAACAAGAAGAGCTAACCATCCTAAATATTATTCACCCAATGCAGGAGCACCCAGATATATAAAGCAAGTCCTTAAAGACCTACAAAGAAACTTGGACTCCTGCACAATAATATTGGGAGGCTTTAACACTCCACTGACAATACTGGACATATCAATGAGACAAAAAGTCAACAAGGACATCCAGGACTTGAACGCAGACTTGGACCAAGTGGACCTAATAGATGGTTACAGGACACTCCACCCCAAATCCACAGAATACATTCTTTTCAGCACCACATTGCACTTACTCCAAAATTGACCCCATAATTGGAAGTAAATCACTCCTCAGCAAATGCAAAAGAATGGAAATCATAACAGTCTCTCAGACCACAGTGCAATCAAATTAGAACTCAGGATTCAGAAAAGCACTCAAAACTGCACAATCACATGGAAACTAAACAACTTGCTCCTGAATGACAAATGGATAAACAATGAAAGGAAGGCAGAAATAAAAATGTTCTTTGAAACCAGCGAGAATGAAGACACAATGTAGCAGATGCAATGGGACACATTTAAAGCAGTATCTAGAGGGAAATTTATAGCAATAAATGCACACATGAGAAAAAAGGAAAGATCTAAAATTGACACCCTATCATCAAAATTGAAAGAGCTAGAGGAGCAAGATCAAAAAAACCTCAAAAGCAAGCAGAAGTCAAGAAATAACTAAGATCAAAGGGGAACTGAAGGAGATAGAGACATAAAATCCCTTCAAAAAATCAATAAATCCAGGAGCTGGTTTTTTGAAAAGATCAACAAAATAGACCACTAGCTAGACTAATAAAAAAGAGAGAAAAATCAACTAGCTGCATTAAAAAACAATAAAAGGGAGATCACCACTGATTCCTCAGAAATACAAACTACCATCAGAGATTACTACAAAGAACTTTATGCACATAGACCAGTAAATCTGGAAGAAATGGATAAATTCCTGGACACTTGCACACTCCCAAGACTAAGCCAAGAAGCAGCTGAAACCCTGAATAGACCAATAACAAGGTCTGAAGTCAAGGCAGCAATTCATAGCCTACTGACCAAAAAAAGTCCAAGTTCAGATGGGTTCACAGCTGAATTCTACCAGACATACAAAGAGTAGCTGGTACCATTCCTGTTGAAACTATTCCAAACAATACAAAAAGAGGGAATCCTCCGTAACTCTTTCTATGAAACCAACATCATCCTGATACCAAAAACTGGCAGAGACACTACTAAAAAAGAAAACTACAGGCCAATATCCATGATGAACATTGATGCAAAAATCTTCCATAAAATACTGGCAAACAAAATCCAACACCACACCAAAAAGCTTATCCACCACGATCAAGTACGCTTCATACTGGGGATGCCAGGCTGGTTCAACATACACACATCTATAAATGTAATTTGCCACATAAACAGAGCCAAAGACAAAAACCACATGATTATCTCAATAGAGGCAGAGAAGGCCTTTGACAAAATTCAACAGCCCTTGATGCTAAAAACTCGCAATAAACTAGGTATCAATGGAACGTATCTCAAAACAATAAAAGCTATTTATGACAAACCCACGCCAATATCATATTGAATGGGCAAAAATTAGAAGCACTCCCTTTAAAAACTGGCACTAGAAAAGGATGCCCTCTCTCATCACTCCTATTCAATATAGTATTGGAAGTTCTAGCCAGAGCAATTAGGCAAGAAAAAGAAATAAAGGCATTCAATTAGGAAAAGAAGAAGTCAAATTGTCCCTATTTGCAGATGACATGATCGTATATTTAGAAGACCCCATCGTCTCAGCCCAAAACCTCCTTAAGCTGATAAGCAACTTAGCAAAGTCTCAGGATACAATATCAATGAGCAGAAGTCATAAACTTTCCTATACATCAACAACAGAGGAACAGCCAAATCATGAGTGGAACTCCCATTTACAATTGCTACAAAGAGAAAAAAATACCTAGGAATACAACTAACAAAGGAGGTAAAAGATCTCTTCAAGGAGAACTACAAACCACTGATCAAGGAAATAGAGAGGACACAAACAGATGGAAAAACATTCCATGTTCATGGTTAGGAAGAATCAATATTGTGAAAATGGCCATACTGCCCAAAGTAATTTATTGATTCAATGCTATCCCCATCAGGCTACCACTGACCTTCTTCACAGAACTGGAAAAAACCACTTTAAACTTCATACGGAACCAAAAGAGAACCCACATAGTCAAGACAATCCTAAGCAAAAAGAACAAAGCTGGAGGCATCATGCTACCTGACTTCAAACTATACTACAAGGCTACAATAATCAAAACAGAGATATAGACCAATGGAGCAGAATAGAGCCTCGGACGCAATGCCACACATCTACAACCATCTGATCTTTGACAAACCAATCAAAAGCAATGGGGAAAGGATTCCCTGTTTAATAAATGGTGTTGGGAAAACTGGATACCCAAATGCAGGAAGCTGAAACTGGACCCCTTCCTTACACCTTATACAAAAATTAACTCCAGATGGATTAAAGATTTAAACATAAGAACTAACACCATACAAACCCTAGAAGAAAATCTAGGCAAAACCATTTAGGACATAGGCACAGGCAAGGACTTGATGACTAAAACACCAAAAGCAATGGCAACAAAAGCCAAAATGACCAAATGGGACCTAATTAAACTTAAGAGCTTCTGCACAGCAACAGAAACAATCATCAGAGTAAACCAGCAACCAACAGAATGGGAAAAAAATTTTTGCAATCTACCTATCTGACAAAG